GCTCGAGGCGCGCACGGCACGGGACTACTTCGGTGAGCGAGCTCGGCCGGGCAGTTCCCTGCGCGCGCGGATTGGGTCCGGGGTTCCGGGACGGCCTCGAGTAGGCGGCCAGATCAGCGGAGGAGATCACGGGACTGGCTGGGGGTGCGGCGGTGCACGGGGTTGGGACGAGGAAGGTGCGTCTGCCGGGGACTGGGGAGCGCAGGTGAGTGCGACTGGATCCCCAGCAACGGCTTCGCCCTGTTTCTGGGTGCCCCACCACACAAGGGGTTCTGGCCGAGTGAGTTGATGCGCGGTTCCTAAATTAACCGGCAAGTCAGGTTCATGGGCACACTGAGCCATTTTCTGATACTTTTTTCTTCTCCCTTTTTTTTTTCTCATTTTTTCTTTCTTTATTATTACTATTGTTAATTTATTTATTTATTTTGAGACAGGGTCTTCCTCTGTCGCCCAGACTGAAGTGCAGCGGCGCGATCTCGGCTCCCTGTAGCCTCCGCCTCTCAGGCTCAAGGGATCCTCTCGCTTCAGCCTCCCGAGATGCTGGGACTCAAGTGCACACCACCATGCCCAGCTTTTTTCTTTTCTTTTCTTTTCTTTTTTTTTTTTTTAAAGAGACGAAGTCTCCCTATGTTGCCCAGGCTGGTCTTAAACTCCTGGGTTCAAGCGTTCCGCCCTCCTCGGCCTCCCAAGGTGCTGGGATTACAGGCTTGAGCCAGTGCTCCCGGCCTGATCTTTTCTTCTTTACACTTGGCGCTCTCATCCTGTCTGATCCTTTCATGCTTCGTGATCAGCAGAAAGGGGTGCTTCCTCGTCTGCCCCGCCACGGTATGGGTGTGGACAGCAACCGGGAAGTGGAGTGGCCCAGGTACCACCGGACACCTCCTGACCCAGGCTTTGGTGATGGTAGCGGCGGGAGAGGGCGACTGTGTGAGGGAAGAAAAGCCCACTTTGGGGGAGAGGGGAACCATGCCAGTCACACGTGGCTGCCCTCGCCCGGACTGTGCTGTGGACATAGGATGCTTCCTAAAGGAATCCTGCTGCAGGTGCGTCTGCAAAGCCCAGCAGCCTGACAGCCTCCACTTCCCAGTGTGGCCCAGGCCCCCTGATCTCTAGTTCTTGGGGCAGCTCTTCAGGTGAGATTGTGAGTGGGGCAGAGGTATACTGTGGGGCCTGGGGAGAGAACTTCCCAACCTGCCTTCTGTATTAAGCATCTGGCTTGGTGGATGGATGGTCACCATGCCTGGGACTGCAGCTGTCCTGGGGTTTGTGTCTTTGAGCATTCGATGGTGTCAGTAGCTCATGGCTGCCCTAAACTGGATCTTTCTTTCTTCCTTTCTTCCTTTCTTCCTTTCTTCCTTTCTTCCTTCCTTTCTTCCTTTCTTTCTTTCTTCCTTTCTTTCCTTTCTTTCCTTTCTTCC